CAACTCCGGTTGCCTACATTACCACCCTAGTTCGAACTAGGGTGGTAGTGTAGACATACCCAAAATTGTTTGTCAGGACTCATATTAATTTAAATTGAAAATACCATTGCAAAAAATTTAGATTTTAATGAATTATTAAAAGGCTACGCAAGTATAAAACCCAGAAAAAATTCAGTTTGTATAAATTCTTTTAATTTATGAGAAACTGGGCGCACCGGAAGAGACTAACGTTTTTCATTACAGTGTATAGTTGAACCCAAATTGTTTGTAACTGTGATTTTGTTAAAATAAAATGAGTACACTAGTAGGAAATTGTTTTATTTTCATTAACTACACATTTTCTGTTTTCATTTTCTTTTTAATTTTGAAGTAAAAACAAAACTAAAAAAACCCCACCATTGCAAAGTGCAAACGTGCAAAAGCCAACATCACCCGTCTGCCAGCATCACTGGGGGTGGTTCTGGTCTTGCTGTCTGTTCCCTCCCAAAAGAGGGGGGGATTTTTTGCTTGGGGCAGCAAAAAACCTAGAGCCGGCCCAGCAGGGGGCTGAGGAGGGACAGTTTGTGCTGCTCCCCTCCAATATTTCTGGGCTTCTCCCATTGACCACAGCTCCCCTTCCCCCATTTCCCTTTACTCTGTTCCCCTTCCCAGGTCCCAGCACCCATCAGCCATGATCCAGCTACGGGTCACCCCTGAGATATCGCTGGCTGACAGGCCGGTGAAGATCCACGTCTCGGGCCTAGCGCCTGCCCAGCTGGTGACCCTGCAGTCGTCGCTGACGGATGAGAGGGGGGTGCACTTCGAGGCCCGAGCCTTCTACCGGGCAGATGAGGCTGGGGAGGTGGACTTGGAGCAGGCAGCTGCCACGGGGGGCGACTACGTCGGCGTTTGGCCCATGGGCCTCTTCTGGTTCCTCAAGCCGGAGAAGCTGTTCTACAGGCTGATGAAACGGGACGTGAGTTGCCCCTTTCGCTTCCAGCTCAACCTCTTTGATTCCTTCCAGCTCCAGCCCTCAGACAAGATCCCGCCGCTGGCCACGTGCATTGTGGAAAGGTGGTATGTGCGCCCTGGAGTGGAGCGTGTCCCAATCAAGGAGGGCCGGGTCCGAGGGGCCCTATTCCTGCCTCCTGGTGAGGAAACTGGCTCTTCACATCCCTGGCTCCTGCATCCCTTATCCTTGTTCTACTCCCTTCCCAGCCCAGCCTGGCAGCCCCTTCCTCCCGCCCTCTGGTGTTTGTCTTCCCTCTTTGCCATACACTAGCTCCTCTTGCACCGCTACCCCAGCCTCCCCATGATAGGGCATGACCATCAGGTAAGCCCATTATGGACTCTCTCCCCCTCCCCCTCTTGCACCGCTACCCCAGCCTCCCCGTGATAGGGCATGACCCATCAGGTAAACCCATTATGGACTCTCTCCCCCTCCCCTGTGTCCCAGGAGCAGGGAGGCCGACAGAACAGCTGAACGACGGGCAAAGTGTGTGTGGGGGAGCTTCAGACCAGGGAGACGGGGGGAGATGGGACTGGAGCTACCCTTCCTCCACCAGCCCTTTAGCACTGCCAAGAATGCACCACTCAGCTAGCGGTGACTTAGAGTGTGGGGCTCTGGCCGCTGTGGCAGCACCGTTTGGGAGCCCTGGGCCCTTTTGAATCACCGGGCCCTGGGGCAACTGCCCCCTTTGCCCCACCCTGACGACAGGCCTGTCCAGCAATGCCAACAACTCAGTCCCATCGTCACAGTCCAAGCGCCCCCTGGTGGGAGGGTGGATAGGCACAGCTACACGCTCCGCCCACTCTATGGCGCCACGTAAAAGCCACCCACTGACACACCAACGTGTACATTCAGCATAAAGTCAGACTGATCCCCGGGCTCTTCCTAAACCCCCTGAGTCCCTGCCATAGTGAATACTAAGCCCTTCCTGATCGTGGGGGCAGGTCTCATAGTAACAACCTCTTTGAACCAGGCTGGTTGGTCTCCCAGGCCCTGCATCCAATGGGAGATCTGGTTACTCATTGAACTTGGCCACCTTTGCTGATGAGATTCACTGTGCCCTCATCGCAGCAGGAGGAGTTTGTATTCTCCTTGACCTCAAGCAGCAGGCTCATTTGCTGAAGGCGGTCCACTTAGGGGGAGTATATCATTGCTTTAAGCTGAGCTAGTTCATCCCCATTACCTTTCACCACCACAAGCTACTGGTCTTCTTGGACCAAAGATTTGGTTTAGATGGAGCTTATGAACACACTTTGTTTTTTATTGGTAAACACTGATTTCCCCAGATATGTACAAATGGATAGAAAATATTTCCGATAATAATCAAATTTGCTGATAAGCAAAGTAAGAATAATATGACTGAGAACTTTAGAGTTTGATCAAAGCATTGTTACTTTGCATATTTTGTTGTCATGTTGATTGTTTTTAAAGTTTTAACTTTTTGAATGTCAGCATCTGCTCTGCTTAAATCATCATTATCTGACCCTCCCCCATAATTTCCCATAACAGCGAAAATGCTGATAACATTTACAAATGCTTAAAGCCCAAACATTTTGCACAATTGTAAAAATGTAGAACAATGTAAACAGAAAAAATGCTTAAAAGTAAACATTAGTGTTATCTGTTGACATTACAAAAATTGAATTTTGCACCTTCTTGCATATAACTGCATTAAGGCTCATCAAGAACTTAATTCTCTTTTGACAATTCTCAGAGTTAAAACTTCCAAGATAATTGCTCGGCCCTTCAGAAACCATATTGCCAACCCCAGGCATTGAAAAATCACAAGATTGGCTTAGAAACCATGAGATTAAAAAAATAATGAATGTACTTTATACTTAGCCATCTGCTTTTTAAACGTGTATGGGTCATATTTAACATTTCAACACTGGGGGTAAGAAACTTCAGAAAAGAAAGTTGGGATCCTTGGGAGCATGACAGAAAATTCCTGACAATTAGATCTCAGGATAAAATGGTGAGAATTAGCAATAGTCCTGTGGCACTGGCTTCAGTGGATGAACAGCAGGAAGATGGAATTGCTAGCCAGCCCTTTTCCTGAGGCAGTAGCCCGGATTAACAAAGGTATTTAGGGTTCTAGTTGCTGTTAATGCCCAGTTCAGTGGAAGATGTTTTCACAAGTGAAATAGATTCCCGTCCCTGCAGCACCTCCTTCAGCTATCTACCTCTCTGCAAATACCTACTGCACATGAGCCCTACCGAGTTTGCCTTGGAAAACAAGCTAGGCCTTTAGCTGTGGGGCTGCCAGAACTATTCGTGCTATGCTTTGCCCTTTTCCTACAATTTCTCTCGCCCCGTTCTCCGCAGGGCCGGGCCCCTTTCCAGGGGTGATCGACATGTTTGGTGGGGCTGGAGGGCTCATTGAATTCCGAGCCAGCCTGCTCGCCAGCCGGGGTTTCGCAGTGCTGGCACTGGCCTTCTTTGGCTACGACGACCTGCCTCGGGTGCTGGTGGAGGTGGACCTGGAGTATTTTGAGGAAGCAGCCAACCTGCTTTTGAAACACCCCAAGGTATGGCCTATGCCCTACTCTTTCACTAGGGTCCCTTCAGAGCCACTTGAGCAGGGGAGCCAAGCTCCAGTCTGGATATCTGATGCAGGTCCTGGCATCATCTATCATCCCTGGGATCCACCCTTCCCTGATATCACAGCGCCCCTTGTTGGAATGATTGAGGCTGAGCAGTGCAGGCTCCTCCCCCTCCCTGGCATCACAGCGCCTCCTATTAAAGGATAGGCTGAGCAGTGCAGGCTCTTCCCACTATCCCAGGGTCACAGTGCTCAGGAGGATAGAGCAGTTACAGCGCCTCCTATTAAAGGATAGGCTGAGCAGTGCAGGCTCTTCCCACTATCCCAGGGTCACAGTGCTCAGGAGGATAGAGCAGTTCAGTACAGATTCCTCCCCCAGGGTCATAGTGCACCTTTGGAAGTTGCGGGGGTGGGGGAAGCATGACTGAGTAGTGCAGGTTCTAGCTTCATCTGTGTCACAGCACCCCCTACAGGTTCCCATCCCGTGCTGGCTCCAAACTGCAGATTCCCAAGCTGTTGGCCTGATTGTTCCAATGTGGCTTCTCTTTGGTTTTTCAGGTGAGAGGTCCAGGCCTTGGCGTTATTGGGGTGTCCAAAGGGGCAGAGGTCACGCTGGCCATGGCTAGCTTCTTAGAGCAGGTGGTGGCCGCGGTCTGGATCAATGGGACGGGATTTATGAACGGCACGCCGCTGCGTTACAAGGGGGTCCACATCCCTCAGATACCCTACTGCCCCGAGCGGTTGCTCATCACAGAGATGGGAGCCCTGGACAACCATCACGTCTTCCGGGACCCCCAGGATCCAGCCTACGCAGAGGCTGCCATCCCTGTGGAGAAAGCTCGAGGTGAAGTGCTTTTCGTGGTGGGAGAAGCTGATCGCAATTTTAACAGCAAGCTCTTTGCTGAGATGGCCATTGAGAGGATGAAAAGCCATGGGAAGAAGAACTACACCCTGCTGTCCTACCCCAGTGCTGGACACCTGATCGAGCCACCGGGGTCCCCACTGTGCAGCATCTCACTGATCCGCGGTAGCCCGAAACCTGTACACTGGGGAGGTAAGCCAGAGCCCCACGCAAGAGCCCAGGAGCATTCCTGGCAGGAGATCGTGAAATTTCTCGAGTGCCATCTTGGTCCCACCAGCAACCTGTAACAGCCAAGGAGTGGTGGGCCAGGCAGCCCCACCCTCTCCTCCCACCTGGGGGAGGCTCCTGCCATCCCTCCAGCCTGCTCAACACAATAAATACTGAGAACACAGCAATCATCTGTGGGTGCTTCCAAGGGGAGACTGTGGGGAGAGGGGGGAGGTAGCGCCCACACAAGGAAGCAGGCTGGCCTGCTGCTTAAGGCTTTTCTCTGGGATTCAGGAGACCTGGGCTCAAGTTTCAGCTCTGCCGCCAGCCCTCTGGGTGAGTCGCTGAAACTTTGTAGGCCTCTGTGGCTGGTCAGTAAACTGGGAGTGATGCTTCTGCCTTCTCAATGCATGCAGCAAGCTCTTCAGTGGAAAGAGCAGGTGTGTGTGCATGGGACCCAGCTCACTGGAG